TGCAGAAAATTATTACCTATTCACAGACTATTTACTGAAATCCGCTACTAAATCTATGTATTTTGTTGAAATTCTCCTTTGCTAAATTAAGCAGTTATCTTTAAAATCTGATAGCACCATTCCTTCTTCGGTTGCCTTTCGCCTACAGTCTTACTTACCTCTTCATAATCATTGATTCTATGAAACATTGTAGAGGTATGTGACTCTAGGTAACTTCGATTCCCGGAAAGATTTAACATTGATTGCTCCAGCACAGGCTGTTGGGTCAGAACCACTAATAATGAATCCTGACTTTTTTGTTGTTGTTGTTGTTTGCAAAAAGCTTTATTGTTTCATTTGGTCCAAGGCTTGGGCGAAGGGCTTCTGGGTGGATAAGATTCTACATCAGGATGGGATAGAGAAGCTTGCTGCTGTTGGCAGGTGGACACAGAGGTTTCCCCCTGCAAGTCCCCGCAGACCCCTAGTTGTACTTGAGGGTGAGATGCTCAAAAGAGATACTTGCCCAGCCCAGCCTGTGGGCCACCCAGTCTTCTAATGTTGGTCAGATGGTCACCCATCTTCTTCAGCAGTTTCACTTCCTCATCCAGGAAGTGGTTCTCCAGAAAGTCACAGAGATGGGGGTCAGTGTGGGCGGAACCCACAGCGTGCAGATCCAGAAGGGCCTGGTTTAGGTTCTTCTCCAAAGCCAGCGCTGCCTGCATAGCGTCCAGGGTTTTACCCTACTCATCCTGGGATGGCTTCTGGATATCTTGGAAGAGGACTCGCCCGCTGCGCTGGTTTTGCAGCTTCAAGAGCCGGCTCGGCACCCTCGCGCTTCTCACTCGCCAACTCGCAGAAGTGCCCCATGCCTTCCAAGGCTACATCATCATGGTCAAAATAAAAACCCAGAGAGAGGTAGGTTTAAGAGGCCCGCAGGTGCAGGTTGACCAGACGGCTGACACCAGCTTTTCTGATTTGGAGGAATAATTTTGACGGATCTGAGAGCTCATAGTTGGTCGGTTTTGGAGGCTAACAAAAAAAAAGGTGTTAGCTGGTCCCGAAAATAGGAGATGGTTGAGATGATCCCGAGGTTACGCCTGGAGGTGAAGTTGGAAGGTAGTTGGAGGTTGGAAGGGGGGGGAAGTCACCGGGTCTGTTCCGTCCAAACACTGTTGAAGCAAGAGACGGATCCACAGGACCGCTGGGGAACTGAATCCTGACTTTTGAAAACGGGGCTGTGACTCATTTCTAGAACACAGCACTTTGAAGTTCCAACCCAAAGCTGGAGGATAGAGCACCTCTTCCCAGTGAATGCGCAACTCATCTGAATTTATTTTGCCTGGCTTCTGATTCTCAAAGATCTTTCGTTTCCTGAGAGTCACTTCTATAATGGGCTTTTACATGGGAAATAGCCTTAATGCTCGTGTCACGTTTTTCTCAGATTTTGCTATTTCTTCGGTACCATAGCAATTCTCATTGTTGGTTTTCTAGGACTATGCAAACACATCTGCTCATGTGGAACAGCTGGGACAAATTACCTACCATAACTGCAGTAACTCCACTCCTACCAGGTTCTTGGCTTTATCTTGATAAAGTTCTTTCAAAGGTCATCAGTGACTTACATTGTTAAATACAAACATCTCAGCCCTGCAGAAGAACCATCTTCTGGTTTCTCTCTGGCTGCTCCTTCTCAGCATGCTTTGCTGGTTCCTGTACAGTTCCCCAGTCAAGTGTAACAGGGTTCAGGAATTAATCTTCCTTATTTATTTTCACTCCTCCTCAATCTTAACCATTAACTTGCTAAAAACAACAAAACCCCACCATCACAGCCAATTCTAACTCATGGTGGTGTTCCACAGAACTTTTGACTGAGGCTACAAATCTTTGGAGATGATGGCCTTTCTCCCTCAGTGGCCAGTCGATTTGAACTACTGACGTTGGGACACAGCTGAGGAATGGCTGGACTGGGGAATAAAGTTGTGACTGCAGATAAGACATACTTATGATGCAGAGTGAACATGTGTTAGCTAGCACTCACCCTGTGGCCCCTGGCAGCCTAACAAGGGCACAAGCTGGCTCTGGAATTGTACTGGAGGTGCTGCACTGCTTGCCCTGGGCTAACCTAGAGGGCTGGGTTCAAAGCACACACAGTACGGTTTAGGGCCATGTGAATGGGGGAGTTCCTACAGGTTGTCATACATGTCACTTGGGGTAAAGGGTATATGGTTATACACTCAGGGAAACACATACAGTTCACAATTCCAGGCTTTAAGTTAGATGTTAGTAACTTAGGGCACCTGCACTTATTTACCTTTGCAAATAACTAATTACAATGATTCTATGAACCCAAGTTTTCCTTAAAGTTCCAATTTTCAGAGTAAAGGATTAACTGGAAACATCAAAAGTTAAACTAAAAACCGAGTCTTAAAAATGGGAGTGAAAATGCAAGCCAATTAAATGTGAACAAAAAAAGTTATGATTCTACCAATAGTTTTACTGAACGAACATTACTCTTCATATATTATAACTCCATCACTCACCCCCAACAATCAAGGGCTTGAAATTTTTTAAAAATTAAAACTTTCTAGAAACACAATGGTTCCAACTTCCCAGATGGAAATGAACTTATTTTGTATGAAGTACCTCAGTACATACACAATTTTTTTAAATTCACTAAATGATTTTTAAAAACAAACAAAAAAAACAGCCCTGGTTACGTTTACGGTCATCCCTTTAATTCAGTGTTAATCAACCTTTTCCCCATCACAACACACAAGAATTACTGATTTTCCATGCTGGAGTTAACTGGAGAGAAAAGTTCTGAATGAAGCTACTCTCAAACTGGAAACAACTGTCCCAGGATGCAGATGGCTCTCAAGTTTGCAAAGTTCTACTCATTTACCATTTCAAGAATTATTCCAGAAAAAGAATTTTGAAAGAATTAACAGTCACTTAAGTATACATAAGCTTTATATACATGAAAACTGGAAATGTTTGTTGACATTTTCACCGTAACTATCTACTTCAAGCCTGAAGTTAAATATATATATATTTCTACATTTTAGTCTGTTAGGAATTCATAGATCATTTGCAATTTAAGTGCTCTCTTGTATAAAGCATTGGAAAGTTAATACAAGTACTAGTCTTAAGCAGTCTAAGCCACAATTTATTTGCACATGTATAATGAGAAACAGGTAACTCCAAATTTGTACAAATATATAAAACAAATAATCACTTGATACACTTGTTACTTTGCTTAACATATTCAAATCTAGATGAACTTCCCTCATTTTGTAAACTTTCATACAATACTTCCATAAACAAAAAATTATTTAAAACACTTACTGGCAGGTTTCAGTTAGAGCCAACAAATACTAAGACCAGAAACTCAAAAACCAAGTTTAGAAGATACTTTTCTACCACCCTCCCCTAGTTTCTCTTAACAGATGCAAAAACTATCTCACAAACCATGGAGAACAAAGAATGATAATTCTCCAAAATTGGGAAGAAAATGCCAAACAGATCATACAGCTTTCAGTGTGATGAACCTTATTATTTAAATATGAAAATGGAAAAATGCTCAAGTTAAAATAACAAAGATTAGAAAATAGTAAATGATTTTAAAGTGAACAAAACTGTCTTCCTCAAAGGTGCAAAGATCTGACTCTGACAACTCAAAAGAATTTTCTAAGGCAAGTGAGGAAATCTTCAGGAACATTCTAATCATGTTCAGTATCTAGTGATAAAAGCTGAAAATGATAGCAAGAGAGTATTTATTATACAAGTGTCAACGAGGACATCTCAAAAATAATGAAAGAAATGCACATTTATTTCTACAAAAGCAATATGATACAGAATTAGAACGGAACACACTTTTAAAGATTTACCTATTAAAATATACAGATTCTTAATGAAGAGAATAAGATATTTAAAAAAGATGACAAGGGATGTTAATCTTTTTTTATTATTATTATTTTTACATATTTTGGAACCTCACATAATTTTGATAAATAACTCTTACAAAATTATGCAAAAAGTACAAGAATGTTTGATAAACAAAGTCTGTATTTTCCAAAAAGATTTTTTACAACATGCAATTCTTAAGGCAGCATCCTCCTTACAAGGAAAGGTAATCCTTTTACTCATCAAGAAATCTTCTGCTGCAAAGAATAGTCTACGAAAGCCTGGCTTCTTCCATTAACGCCTTTTGTCTTTCCTGTCTGATTTTCGGTCTCTTTCACTTCTTGAAGATCTTTTGCCTGATCGACTACTTTCTGATATAGACCTCTTTCTGTCGGACCGGGAATTCTTATCCTTTGATCCTTTTGTATCTCTACTACTACCACCTTTTGAAGATTTGTGACTTCTTTCTAGTCCTGAAGTATCCCTTCGTTTCCGATCCACGCTCCTTCTGTGCTTTCTATCTCTATTATGTCCCCGGCCCCTACTCCGACTTCTACTCTCACTACTGCTACTAGTGCTGCTGCTACTATCTCTGCTGCTGCTGCCACTTGTACTAGAGCTGCTGCTGGAACTACTGCGACTACTACTACTGCCACTACTAGAACTGCTTCCACTGCTGCTACTAGTTGAACTGCTACTAGAACTACTGCTACTACTGCTTCGACTTCTACTCTTGCTGGTTTTATTTCTAGCTCGACCTCTGCTTCTGCTTCTAGTTTTGGTTTTAGCTTTACTCTCTGAATGCACTGTCAAAGCTGACTCTACTGGTACATCAGTGTGTTTTACAGATTCTATAGGAAATTCCTTCCTTTCAGATAGTAAATGCTCTTGCTCTTGCATAACCTGAGGTGGTACTTGTAAAATAGTTAATGGTAAAGTCTCAGGCTGAGACAGAGGCTGGGGCTGGAGTACTGGTTGGGGCTGAGACAGGGACTGAGGTTGTGCTGTAGGTTCTGCCTGGGTCTCGGATTCCTTTTCTTCATTTTCCTCAGGCTCTTTTTCTATTTCCACAGCACTAGCATTCTCTTTCCCAGGAGAAAGAGATTTACATTCTTTTTCTGGCTCAACTTCAAACTCCATCTCTGGCTCCATTTCTTTGCTAGTTTCATTTTCTGAAGGTTCTATACTTTCAACCTGATTAGTTTCCATTACCTCTTGTTCAGCAATAACATTTTTAACATTTTCAACCATCTCTAACACATCCATAATTTCTTCAGGCTGACTATCTTGCTGCTTCTCACTTTCCCTTACCTCAATATCCTCCTCCACTTTAACTTCTATTT